CATTGGGGTATGCCACAAAAAGGTAATGTTGTAATATATATCACCTCCTCCTTGTTGTTTCCACACTCATTGTCCATTTTATCAGCTCCACTTACTATATAGGTGCACTTTGTAGTTCTACAGTTACAGACTGTAGTCCATCTGTTTCTCTGCATACTTTGTTAGCCCCCTTTTGCCCTGTTCTTCAGTGGTCAGGACCCCCATAGACCCTCACAGAGCAGGTACTATTTGGGTGGTGGGTCATTCTCAGCACTGCAGTAACACTGATGTGGTGGTGGTGTGTTAGTGTGTGTTGCGCTGGTCTGAGTGGATCAGACACCTCAGTGTCACTGCTGGACTGAGAATAGTCCACCAACCAAAAATATATAAATAAATATATATATGACCTCTGTTCTGATTGAGGCCTTTATCTATTTCCAACATAGTCCCACCTTCTAAATTAAACAGGCCACACAAAAATGCAATAATCTCTCAATCGAAATGACCAGCATTGTTCTTTATTGGACAGTCAGTGTTAAATTCGTGTAAGGCCTTACAGCTAACAGGATTAAGCGAATAGCCCATTAAAGATTTAACGATTACACGCTGACCATGGATGAATCTTCGTTGTCTTGCCTTGCATTTAGACGATAGTAACATTGTTTCAGGGAATCTATCAATACTGCAGATGACCACATGCTGCATTTTAGACGTTTAGAGTGTGTGTCGTTTTGGACAGTTTGCAGCAATGTCTCACTTCTGCGAAGAGCACAGTGCGGAATATTCCAGTACACTGTAGTGCTTTCCTCCGGGCAGCATTGCTCCAGACACCAATTCCGTATCATTACCTTCCCCTGCCAGGAAAGAGACTCAGCACTGCTGTGACACATGCCACTCAGGTGATACGGGTGTGTTTTTTTTCCAGCACAGCTGCAATGCTCTTCAACATAACAAGTAGCTGAGCTTATTTTCTCAGAGTGTCCACCTTCACACCACAGCACACTAGTATGAGATACAGAGTTGAATACATTGCTTTATATTAATGATATTAATTCAGGCTACTTTATTAGAAACGTGGCTCCACCTTACTGGAGTTGCACTGTTGATGCGCTGTTTGTGTTAGCCATCCTCTTGTCCTCCATCAATGGTCAGTTTCTGACCACAGAGTAGGGATGTGCACGAGTACTTGACTACCTGGTTTACTGTTTGAGATGTTAGTATTAGTTAGTATAGTAACAGTTCAGCGGTTTAATGTTTTAACAGGACTGCAAAATGTGACACATATTCACGTTTCAGTATGTACAGTACAGGACGGCCTAAACACAAGCTAAAGCTCTTCGATTCCAAATTTTAGAGTCCAATTCCAATTCCAAGTGACAGGAAACAATGGAGTCGTTTCCACGGAATAATCTCAGTTCCAAAAAAAGAAACAGAGAAGGACATCAGGCAAAAATAAAGAAGAAAATATTGATATTTGACCATAGCATGGAAATTTGGAGAGCTAATGCTAGCTAAATTAGCTCAGCTGACTAAAGGGGGCTGGTTAAACAGCACCTGATCTCCTCTGTTAGCTCCTTTAGGTGGGCAAATGTTTGGCAGTTGTTTGATTGTAAGCCATTTTTATTACCATTTCACATTTTATTTTGTTTCCTTCTTTGTATAAATGAAAAAATATCATCTCCATTTCTGAGTTGTGGGAGGAGGTATTTTGTAATCCAGGCCGTGTAGCCGGCGATAGCAGCATCTCTCACTCTGCGGGTCCACGAGTGCAGGCAATTGAACACATCAGTGTGGAATTAAGACTAAACCTTTGAAGTCGATTCTCAATTCCCAAATGCCTGGAATTGATGGAATCAATTATTTTTTTTAGATTGACTCTCAGCACTAAGGTTAGTGTGCTGCCAAGGACGCATTGATAATGTATTGGCTAATGTATTGGCTCATCGTCCACTTGGAGAATAGACTCATCTGAACTCATCTGAGGCAGCTTGCGTTACTCATCCAACATGAAAACCAATTTCCATGGAATATTAAAAGAGGTTTACATTTTTTGGCCCACTGGCCCCACTTTTATCATCTAAAAAGTAAGCCTAAAACCCTAATTTTGGCCTTTTTTATCCTTTGTATGGTCACATTTCCCTGGACATTTACTCATTAACTCAAATATGAAAAAAAACTCATTGAAATGTGCATCCCCATACCCAGAGCCACTATTGGCTGGATGTTTTGGGTGATGGACCACTCGTAGTGGTGACACTGATGTGTGGAAAAACCCCAGCAACACTGCTTTGCCTGAGCAGTCCTGTGGTCAGAAAATATCCAATGATGAATGGGTTAGAGGGTGGCTTACAAACTGTGCACAAACAGATGAGCCGCAGTATCTGATTAGGCATCTGTATAGTGGACCTAAAAGGCAGTAGCATTGTGAAATGCGGGTAGACATAACCAGCAGGCAGGGATTAGCCATGACTAAAACAAGCTTCACCAGTCCAGACAACCCTGCTGGAAAAAACAGCATAGTCCAGCATGGCTGGCCACCAACAAAACCAGCATATGCTGTGTTCTGGATGCTGGTATGCTGCTCATAAGCAATGGAAGTTAATATGCTGGTCATCAGCAAAACCACCATTTATTGTGTTTTGGATGCTGGTATGCTGGTCAACCAGCATGCCCATGATGGATGACCAACTAAACCTGCACCAGACCAGCATAAACCATCTTAGAACAGCATGGAATTCATTCTGGTCTGTGCTGTTTTTTTTTTTTTCAGCAGGGAACCAGACTGACCCTCTTTTGGGGATATTATTAGTAGAAAAGACAATTATGCTTGGAAAAGAGGAAGAGGGTGACCAGCTAAGATAAGGATGGACACAATCAAAGATATCAAAAAATGGGGTCAGGATTTTCAGTGTGCATAAAAGAATGACATGCCCCGGAGCCTAAAGTGTCAGCCAGAGGGGTATAAAGCCCCCAGCATTGGGATGTGGAGCAATGGAACTGCATTCTCTGGAGTGATGGAGCTCCGTCCAATACCTTTGGGATGAGTTTGTGATCCAGAACTGATCATCCAACATCAGTACCTGACCTCACCAATGCTCAATCAAATCCTTACAGCAATGTTCCAACACCTAGTGTAAAGCCTTCCCAGAAGAGTAGAGGCTGTTACTGCAGTAAAGGGGGACGAACTCCTTATTAAGAGGAAGAACATTCAGAAGAAACGTTGGATAAGCAGGTGTCCGTAAACTTTTGGACATGTAGTGTAAAATTAAAACGTATTGTTACAGATTGAAAACAATAAGTATCCCTTTTATGCCATTATCTTTGCTCACAGTCAAACCACTGCGTCCGCAAGGCATTGGAGATGTGGGCGGGCAGAGGGGGAGAGGTGGAGGCAGACGTGGAAAGCACACGCCCTCAGCTCAGCTATGATTGGATGTTCTTGATCCAGTGAGTTGTAAGACAAATGAAGTGTCACAGCGGGGGGAGATTAGATAAGTAAAGTCCACTCGGGTTTATTTCAATTTGGCCAGATCGCTAGAGCGTTACAGACCGGATCCCTAATGACCACAGGGGGATGGGCAAGGGAGGAGGGGGGGTTACAGAGTGTGACAGTGTGATGGTGTGTGTGTGTGTGTGTGTGTGTGTGTGTGTGTGTTCCAGCCTTCTATTTGAAGCAGGGGAGGGTACACAGATACGGTCCACAGATTAAGGATTTAACAGAGTCAGGATACTCCCTCCTCTGCAGTAGAGCCAATATGAGGAACTACTGGACACATATTTGTCCAGAATTTATATGAGCCTCACTCAGTTGGCTAATATTTCTGAATAGTGCTGAAATGTTTCTAATAGTCCTACTTGTTTTCTACGTGTGCTTACGCTTATCACGATACCAGAGTACCAATGTAGTATTGTTGTTTGATACTAAAGCAATTTGAGCTGCGATATATGTTGATGATGATGATGATGATTTTTATTATTATTCTTATTATTATTGTACTATATGTGAAAATCTAATAAAAACAGAAAGCAGTGATTAGTAAATTCTGTTTGACCCATATTACATTGAAAACACACACAAACATAATGTTTAATGTTTATTTTTTTGTAAACTTATGCTCTTTTCAAATTTGATGCATTCCAAAAAAGTTGGAAGCGCTGTGTTACATCACTTTTCCTTTAACAGTACTTATTAATCATCTTTTTTTCACAAAAATTCAAAGCTGAATTTTTAAGCAACTGTACAGGGCATTTGAGCTTGATAAGATGTTTTCAATGCGAGACAGTTCTGGACTGCAAGCAGGCCAGTCTAGCACTCGCACTCCCTGATTATACAGCCAAGGATGTCTTCAAAAAAGATGGCATCTAAAAGGCAGCATATGTTGCTCCAAAATGGGTTCAGTGTTAATTGTGCTTTCACAGATGTGCAAGATACACCCCCCCTAATACAATGACAGGCCCTGGATTTTGAACTTTACACTGGTAGCAATCTGGAGCATCTTTTTTTCATTATTTACATAAATGATCTGAAAATTTTAGGCCACAAAACACATTTCCACTGTAAATCAGTCCAGTTCAGATGAGCTCAAGCCCAGCAAAGTCGGCGGCGTTTCTAGACATTTGACTTCCGCTGTGCATAGTGTAGTCTTGCATTTGTAGATGCAGCGATGAACTGTGTTTACTGAAACAGGCTTGTCAAAGTATTCCAGAGCCCATGTGGTGATATCCATCACATAAGCATACAGGCTTTTAATGCAGTGCCATCTTAGTAGACAACGATCACAGACATTCAGTAGTGATTTTCAGCCTTGCTTTTTACACACAGAGATTTCTCCAGATTTCCTGAATCTTTTGATGATGTTATGCACTGTAGAGGGTGAATTACCTAAAATTCCTGCAATTGCTCGCTGAGGAACTTTATTTTTAAACTGTTGGGTTTTTTTGCTGATAGATCGGCAAAGTGGTGAATATTGATCCTTCCTTGTTTATAAAGGACTAAGTCTTTATACCCAACATCACCTGTCAGTCACATCTTCTTGGTCTTGTTGCTGAGGTAGTTTTGGTAGCAGAATCTGGTGAACAGAGCTGTTAGGCTGAGAGCGTAGCCAAGCACCAGCATGTCCATCGAGAGGGGGAAGTTGCAGTCCGTGTAGAGGCCGTATGCAGCGTGCACAGTCACAATAAAGAACTGGAGCTGTGGAACAAGTTATGTTAAAAACTATACAATCATGTAGACTGTTGAGATTCTGCACATGACCTGATTGGGTCATTATGGTACAGCACCAACCTGTATGTGACAATATTGATAAATAAACGAATCAACATGTATAATAATCGAACAAAATGATACCGACCCAGGCCCAACTGCATCAAACATCAAACAGAAATTGGGCTGTTTTAGGACCAGCTACCCTCACCTACAGCTGCATATTGATGTATTTACTAGATAAGCTCTCTTACACATTGACATTTCATAAACGAGGACTATTGCAATTAATTGCAACTATTGCAATCAAATTTACATAATTTTCTCCAAATTACTCCAAATGTGGCCCATGTTTGCTTTTTAGGTTTTGCACTGGAGCTACAAGGCTAATGTAGCTAACAAGTAATGGAAGCTTAAAGCTCACCTATTAGCATTGTACAAACTGCATGTCTAAATCGTCACATTTGAGTTAAGTGGTTTCTGACATTGTATGACATACTAATATCAATACAAATGTCATTCAACTGTCATAAGCCTCAAAAGCAAGTCTATTTGAGATTTCTTAACACCTTGATGTGGCTTGAGGCAAGAATGTGGTAGTTTGGTCATGAAGTTGCAGTTATTTGGCCTTGTAAAGAAGCAAACTCAAGATACCAAACATGTCTTGGCTGCTTAGCTCTAGTTAAAGTAAGGAAAAAGCTGCAGTGCAAAACCCTCAGAGGGGAAGGCCTCATGATGTCTGTGTACCCAAAAAAACATCTACATCTGTAATTTTTTTAAATGAATTTTCTTCAATAGGATCAACATGCAAGTGTTGGTAAGTTTTAGTTGGAGACAAATGGGTAAAATTCTTGAAAAGCCTGACAGAAAATTATCCAATCAGGATTTTTTTTTATCTTCTATGGCATCTAGGATATAGCCAAGTGAGCTCTCCCATTGGTTGGGTCTTCAGGAGCTGAACTGAGGACCTAATGTGTCAGATAAATGACTAACATAATTCGTGGTTAAGTGTCAGTAGAATGAACCAATCAGTTTCCAATGGGGCAACCAATTTTGTGAGGAAATGTCACTCTAGGCCTTTGTGGAAGTCCCTGATGTGCCACTGCAACTACAAGCGGTAGCCTGACGAGTGCATTTCAGTCTGTGAAGTCACAGTAAAGTATATGTTACTATGTCTGTTACAAGTTTCAGATACTATATGGAATAACATATGGAATGCCTTTTGCAAGATTCAAACGTCCATGTTTATTACAGAATGAATATGAAGAATCCTCATTTTGACATTTATGGCCCGAACTGAAGGCCTACCAGTGATAGTCACCTGTGTGATTTTTTGGCTGAACCATCGACTGATTTAGTGCTGATTTGACTCACCAGTTGCATGAAGGTCAGGCAGCGTTTCCACCACAGGTGTTTGTGCATGTGTGGACTCAGTGCAGCAAGGCCATAATACAGGTACATCAGCATGTGGACCAGAGAGTTAATGAGACCAATAAGGAACGCTAGGAGGCAAACACATATTCATTATTTTACAGTTTGATTAATACTTTTAAATAACAAATATATAACAACTAAAAACTTCGCTCACTTTTACTGTTCACTACTTGCTGTTCACAATCCTTCTGTCACTGTATTAGAAACCCCAGCTGTACCTTATTGGAGTGCACTTACAGGTTGTAGCCTGTTTGTTGATCTGTCAGTATTATAACCTAATTCATATCTGGTCAACAGTGGCCCTGCGGTCATAAACTGACCAATAATGAATGGAGTCACAGATGGGCTTCAGTCTGTGATTGCACACCTGCAGTGGCCCTATAGGTCGTGAACATTATGAGTGAAAATACCGTGTAAGGGCTTCTAACACTGTGGATAGTGAGTCTATGCCCTGTAGTGGATTTCTGATACGAGATACCACCTAGTGGTCTCAATCGGAACAGCACATCCATTTACAACCACAGAATTAACTCCATTTCTACCCTGAACCAGTCTCTATGCACAGCCTCTAAGCAGCTGAAAAGAAAAGCCTGTGCCACTGCAATGCTGCAAAGCACAGCATTTTTAGTTATTGAAATACAAACAAAAGGTCAGCATGACTTACACTGCCCCCCTGCAACATACTTCACCCTGGCCCACCAGTTAAAAATCATGCATCCATGATGGTAGACATGCAGAAAGGTCAGCTGACTGTTCCTCTTCCACAGGATGATAAATATCTGAGAAGGAAGAGCTGAAAATGAGTACAAAGCCCACAAAACAGCTTGTTTATTTGTGGACTGAACTGCTTCACTTACAGTATCACTGAGCTCAATGACTTTGGAGAGGTAAAACCACCAGCACACGTTTGCCATCTGTCCAACATTACAACAAAAAAGGCAATCAAACATTGGAATACACTGAATTACATCTTGTTAGATGACGTGTCTACATAGTAAACAACTCATTTAACCCCTCAAACTGCACACTTACTGCTATTCAGATATTATAAACCCTTTACTGCATGGTGTTGCCATATGGCAACAAATTTTTCTTTCGTTTTTTTTTTTTTTGCTTGATTATAGTATAAAAGTTTTTTCTTTTCCTTCCGTAAGCTCAAGGCTTTATGTGTAAAACAGTATGCTTTTTTCGGATCATATATCTTTCGGTTGCAGTCTGTACTTTATTTTTCCCTGCATACATCACATTGTCGGGCCTGGCGACTGAAATTGCTGCTCAAAAAGTGTGTGATTCAATATTTAAGAAAATGAAACACAATATAAAAAGTCACAAAGTCTTTCTCCTACGTGAGAGCAGTTTAGAAGCTTTGAGTATTTTTTAAAACTAAATATCATTTTAAAACAATAAAATAAAGGTGTTGCCAAATGGCAACAACATGCAACAGTGGAGCTCTAATCTGCAGGAGGTACAGTACATAAGAAACATTAGACACCATTTTTACATTATTATTGTCTTTATATTCCATGTTCATGTTTTAATCAATATCATTGCTTTCATTACCTTTCTATATTCTTAAAACATTTATGCATATATGTATTGCTGATTTTAAAAAATATTTTATTTATTTACTCATTTTTTGTGCTGTAGTGATAATTATGTCTTATTATGTCCTATGGTGATGTCCATTGTCACATGCTGTTGCTGTACAGCAACAAAATCCAAGTACCGCCCTGCAAATATTTTTATTTATTTATTTTATTATTTTTTATTTATTTTAATTAAAAAAATATTTCTATCAGCTATGCAATTTATTGTCAGAAACATAATAATTTTTTCCATTTGTATTTCATAATTCATGTACGAAGGGTTAATTCTGATATGGAGCTAATCTTTGTTTAATAAACAAAACAGCAAAATAAATAAAAAATAATGGTAATGATAATAATAATAATAATAATAATAATACTTAATTTTTATCTCTAATGTAATAATAATAATAATCTTATTTTACTATAATAAAACTTACGATTAATATAAAAAAAATTAGATTATATTTAATTGTAGAGGCTTCTGTTTGGTATATTTTCTCTGCTTTAAATAATTTGTACTTCAGGGCCATTGTCTCTGGAAATTAAATAAATAAATGAAGTTTCTGATACTTTTTGATATCAATCAAGGAAAAAAAAGAACTGTATAAATCATAATTTTGATTACCCGCATTGCTAATGGGCTTTCACTGTAGTCAACAGGCTGGCAAAACAAGTTATATCCCGCCAACCAGGAGGACGCTGTGAACTAAGAGAGAGCAGAAATTGCAAGTGAAAAAGTGCAGTTCACCTCAACCAGGCCAGCACAGAGTATTTACACTCACTGTCCACTTTATTAGAAATGCCTACTCTGTATTTACACTCACTGTCCACTTTATTAGAAATGGGTACCCTGTTTCTATTTCCATTTGCTGGTCACATTATAAGCTCCACCTACCTTATAGGTTGACTGTATAGGTATGCAGTCACAAACTGTAGACCATCTGCACAATTAATCAGCCCCCCTCAACCCCATTCATCACTGGTCAGCTTCTGACCACAGGAGCACTGTTGACCAGATATTATCTAGCCAAGAGCAGCTCTGTAGTCAGAAACTGGCCAAACTGTGTACAAACAGAAGGTCTACAGTCTGTGACTGTAAATCAGCAAAGTGGAAGAGCTTCTAATAGAGGCCAGTGTGCATCACTGCAACCCTGAACACTGTGAGAGTGAAGCAGAGTAAGGACGTGGGCATGCTTATGCTCTACCTCATAGAGGGTGTAAGCAGAAAGGCACACCATGGCCAAATAGTAAGCGATAAGGAGCGCTCTGATGTTGACCGGCTGCCTGTGGGCCATCAGCCTCGGGCCCATCCACATGATCAGCAGGTAGGAGAGGAAGACACAGCTGACTGGCACGGGCGAGTAGACCAACAACCATCCTTCTGTTCTCTTATCTACACATCACAAAGAAAAGCCTGGAGAACCAGCAGAGTTATGAATTCTAGTGCTACCATTCTTGAGCACGTTTTCTTCGTAACATTACTTGTGATATATCAAATATATGACAGGTATATATATATACATATATATGTCATATATTTGATATATCACAAGTATATAGTATTATCACATGTATGTATGAGTATCCTTCATATCCAATTCAGATTTTGTCATATATGGACATATATGTGACATGCATGCCAACTTATTTGAAAGTGGCTGTTTTCAAATATGTGACATATATTTCAGCCATATCTCAAGTTCTGCAAACATATATGTGTAACATATATATGTATAAATATATAATAGAAAACCTTATTTATATATGGTTGGAATATATTCCTCATATATGCTAGCTTCATGTTATATAAGTTTTTTTTGCATTTGTATTTGATTTTTAGCTTTAAAAAAATCTTTCAGTGTTTGTATCAGACAGATCATACATAGGGCATATGCATAATCCATATATGTATTCACCCCTCTATCAGACATATATATGTATGATCCATATATTACGCATATATGTCCAATTTTTGATGCTTTCATATATGTACACTACATATAGGACCATACTTTTTATTTTTATCTTTTTATTTTTTATATCATATTTTATGTTATTTCGTTTTCACAATCATTTCAGAATCATTTACGTTCCAATACATTTTATACATTTATCTAAATGTATGCATGTTGGTTATGTATTGCTGAAAACATTGAAAACCTCTGAACAAAAACTGTAAACATTTGAGCAGTTTTAATGAAAAAAATCCTACTTTTGACAACTTACAACTTAGCAAGCTGGCTGTCTGGCTAATCTTAGCTAGCTGCTGTGCTATTTTACGGTTTTCTTCTTATTTTGTCATTTTATGGTCACAAGTTTGGTTAAATTGAGGGCTATTGATTATACTTCCTGTTGTGAGCCTGTTGGTTAGCTAATGTAGCTAGATTTTAGCTAGCTTAGCTCACACTAATGGGTTTAGCTTAGCTAGCCAACACACTAAAGGAAACCTTGAGCATTGGACCTTAGTTGTTCACCCCAGAATGGTCATGCTGGTTGACCAGCATACCAGCATCAACACAACATATGCCGGTTTTGCCGGTTTTGCTGGTGACCAGCCATGCTGGTTTCTTAGCAGGGTATTTTTATCTCACTAGAGTACTTCTGTCACACATGGAAACCAATTTAACTGTCAATACCTCATGATTCATCCTCGTTTCTGGTCACTGTCTGAGCCCTTTTGAAACTCACCTCCGTTTTCTAAAATCCACTGGTAAAACAGCTGGACCTTCTGCCACATGGACGGCTCCGGTGATGCCTGATGCAGAACAGTAATGGTACCAAAAGCAGTTGTAAAAAAAAAACATATATCCATTATTCAGCCTCTCTTTATTGCTCAGAATTAAACATACTGTTTTTCTAACTGGGCTTCTATGACTGAAATATATAAATGACCTCTGTTTTGATTGACTGACCACTTCTTAAGTCAAAATTTCACTTTAGCCACAAACTTTTACTCCACGTCTTCCATTCCAATAATTCTGCCACAGGCACAGCGTGCATTCGATGCTGGTCTGGTGCTCTTTTTGCTGGTCACCTAGTATGAACAGCATACCAGCATCAAAAACACAACATACACTGGTTTTGCTGGTGACCAGGCCGTGCTGGTCTATGCTGGTTTTTCTAGCAGGGGAGTGTCTGAAGAAACAACGTGAATGGGTGACATCACAACCACTATGACTCCAAAACAGGTTTTTGTAGCTTAGTTCACTTATATGAACAGGTATAGAGTTTTGCATAGTACATCACACTCTTGTGTGAAAAAACAGGAAGGAATGATATCAGCACTTTGAAACAACGTGTTAACTTCTGCATATCTTATGAATCATATAACTGTTACCATGACATCTTTACTATAAAGCAGAACTGACTCACCATTGGAACTGCTCTGGTCCTTCAAAGCTCTTCAAATCTGCTCCAACCTGCCACCTGCTGCCAGACCGCTCTAAGTCCAGAGAAGCATGGAAAAATAGAGTTTAATGTGCTGAAGATGTCAAACCTTTTAAATTACAGACACAAAGCTCACACTGGGAGTAACTGACTGGGCTGGTGGAGGGTGGTGGTTTACAGATGGCCTCTTGCTTCCAGAGGGATTAGTGAAATCCCCAGGACAGCTCCACTTCTTCAAGGCCGTGAGCTATTTTTAGCAGATAGCCTAATCAAACTGCAGCCTTATCATTAGGTGCTTTCTAAAATGGTGAGGTTATATGCAAAATAAAGTCCACACATGCAATCTGGGGTACTGGCCATTTAGAAATGCGTCAAGCAGAGATATAATGTTTTTGGGACAATGGATTTTAGCGCTGGTCCCCTTATCAGTTACCACCACTTGCACAATTCTTTAGAAGCAGGCAAATCCTACGTTTTTGTTTTATTTTCTTTTTTTTACCATTTTAAACAGTTCTATGCTTGTATGTACCAAAAACAGTATTTTTTTTATTTTTACATGATCATATTCCAACCTCTCTAACGTGTCAGGCTGTTTTAGTTACTGTTCTGGGTTCAATTTCCCAAAAGCATCTCAGTGCTAAGATCATCTTAACTGGTAGAGAGAGTGTTCAGTGTGATGCTTGCTCTACCATTTAAGAATTGGCTTTGTGTTAAGAAGCTTTTGAGAAACCCAGCACTGATTAGGTGCCCTCATTCAAAAAGCATTTGGGGCAACACTTCTTATAACTTCAGTGTGAATGGGTGGGACTAGTGGGACCAAGGCCCTATACATATATATAAATATATATATACAAATATATATATATATATATATATATATATATATATATATAGATAGATAGATATAGATAGATATATATATTATCATTAGGTGCTTTCTAAAATGGTGAGTTTATATGCAAAATAAAGTCCACACATACAATCTGGGGTACTGTTTGGCCATTTAGAAATGTGTCAAGCAGAGATATAATGTTTTTGGGACAATGGATTTTAGCGCTGGTCCCCTTATCAGTTACCACCACTTGCACAATTCACACTGAACACTCTCTCTACCAGTTAAGATGATCTTAGCACTGAGATGCTTTTGGGAAATTGGACCAGAACAGTAACTAAAACAGCCTGACAGGTAAGAGAGGTTGGAATATGATTATATATGAATATATATAGGGCCTAGGTTCTAAGGGCTTGTTTACACCTTGCATCATATCTGGATACACTTGGACTAGATTTCGTTTACACTTTTAACTAAAATGCATGCCCCCTGTGACCTCATGAGATCTGATTGTACATTCCCTGCGTCAATAACATGTCAACACATACATCATTTCCATTTTACTTTTGTTTACTTTGAGTGAATAAGCTTGGCCTGGACACTTTCATCGGTTCTAGAGTGCATGAATTCTCTTGGTTTGAGGCTAAATTCAACCTCGTCTCTCCTCTATCTCACATAATTGTATATGGATAAGGAAAACACATTCTATTTACACTTGAGTTATATGTGTTAAAGATCAGTCACTGACCGCCTCTGAATGTGATTTGAGTAACCCCGATTGTAATCCTCTCACAATGCATCCTGGGGTTGTTTACACCTGGCTTTTTATGCGGTCAAGTGAATTCCGAATGTGATAGAAACACCAAAACAGCATGTTATTGCAAGGCGTAAACAGGCCCAAATGTTCAAAACCAGTGACAGCTAATTAACACATGAAAATAGGATTCCGCTATACATTCTGGTGTAATTTGTTTTCATGGATTAGTGCTTGGGAAGTTTATTCTCACCTAGAACCGTAAAAAATAGCTAACTAGGGCTGCTTTTACAGCAGGATAAAGGCGAAACTGCAATATCAGCTCAAGCACAAATACATGTTCTGTGTTATTTCACTGTTATCATATTAACAGTTTAACTCATGATGTGCTTTAATGAATATGTTGCTGCTTTCTTTCATTATTTGTTAGCCGTACACCGTAGTGCTGGGAGGCTGTAAGGACAACATTAAAACCTACTGTATGTCTTGGGCAATGCTTGTGCATGAGCATTTTAACAATGGGTGTCAGTCAGTCAGTCAGTGACTCAGTGACTCAGTAAGAGACTGCAACACTCTTATATTTCTATTGAAATATGTACATGGCTGAGCAATTTTAAAATCAGTGTTTTTTTTATACATCTACAGTTTAAGATCTCAGTATGGGAAAATAAAACAATTTCAAAAACAACAGCTCAAATGCGACATTTATGTTTATTTAATTCAAACAGAAAATCAAAAACAGATATACACTTGAGACACAGAGATACTCCTTCCTTGTCTACCTTGTCCACTACTGCTCTCTTTTCCTTTCATGTTCTTTTAGACTGCCCTGGCTGGGTATTTTTATTTGGTGGACTATTCTGAATTAGTTTAATATACACAGTGACTCTTTTAACCCAGTATTCATCTTAAGAATGCAATACCTCTAACAGTAAGACGTTTTCAGAGATTTTAAGACCTTTAAATAAGATTTTAAGATTTTTTTAAGATGCTTTGGAGCTGAAAGAGCCTAAAAATGTGGTCAGGCAGATGACCCACCAGCGCTGCATAGAGAAGCCCTTAAACGTCACCACCTGAGACAGAACATGTGACAGTTCATCCTGCGATTTTGCCCCCGCTCAGCATCCACATGCACACACCTGCGGCAGGTTTGAGGCGCATGCTTCATTAAGAGCTATGAGGAGCAACCCAGGAGCAACCAAACACAAAGACTGTGGCTACGTCTCAAATGGTTCCCTATTCCCTATGAGGTGTATTTTAAAGGTCATGAAATAATGGTGTCTACATCCAAATAGTGGGTCATGATCAATGCAGTGCGCTATATAGGGAGTGTGTTCACATTATAGGGCCGAAGTAAACTTTTTTTGCTGGAATTTGACACAGATATGATTTTTTATCAGAGCAGTCTGAACAAATATTTGTGATAAACCATTTCAAAATTAGCTGTTAGTACTGTTTTATCTAATAGATTAGAAAATAAAACTGGAGCTCTACTAATCTTTTCAGCTGTGCTTTTAGGAGTCAAAATAGTAGCTGCAGAGAAATCGGATCTTGAAAAAAAAAAATCGTAACTGACCAGTAAGTATGAACGTAGCCAATTACCCATCAGCAGCGTTTCTACTGCGGCTTCATCTCTACAGCTGCCTTGTATTGCAGTTACTAAGAAAACATTCAACAACCCAGAGATCCAATATGCAAAATATGTAAATACAATATAACTAAAAAACTAAAAAAAATCAGAATGAAGTAGAAGCAGGTATGAAAGCTACATTGAGATGCACAATAAGAGGCACAATGAGACGCTACTGTAAAAAGGCCTAACTGTCTGCCAGATGATGCTCATGTTTGTGTGTGATGTAGCCCTTGTGCTCTTTGTTATGTATGTTATGGTGACTCTGCCCAGCCTTGGTCATGAGTGGATTTGTGCTATGTGAGGAATGGTCATGGCTTCGGCTAGGATGGCCATGGCGATGATGGCTATGGTGGTCAGCACGGTCCACTGTATGCCGTGTGGGCTCTGAAGTAGTCATGGTCTGGTTTTCTCCTTTGGCCATGCTGCTGGAATTTCGTAGATCCGCTGAAAGAGTGGAGTTGGAATCCATCTAAAACAAAGACATTTAAAGTCAGAAGGCAGATAAGCCACGATTAGCACTGAATTTCAGGACAAATTGTAATGTATGCAGTTATAACCTTACCCTTAATGTAGTGAATCAGCTAAGAGTAGTTCGCTTCTAGTTTTGCACTGGAACTATGAGGCTAATGTCGCTAACAAGTGGACGTTTGTACAGAAATTCCAGCTTCCAGATGGCTGCTACTACTGTTTTTAGCCATGCTAGGTACTCATTTTTATGGACAGTATGAGAAACCACATAAGCAACCCTATTTACTTCACAACTAGATAGAGTTGGAGGCAAGTGTGTGATGATTTAGGCATTTAGCTCAATGCTAACTTGTTAGCTTAGCTTTTAGGGATGTACTAATCTGGTTAATCCATTTGAGGCGCCGGTATTTAAATACTAAAGTGACTTTTTTATTTGTATATTCACTGCATTTCATCACCCGACGACAGATAGAACATGCAAACCAACCATTCAGTGAAATGTGATGGTTTTCCTCATATTCTGTAAGTAAGCTAAGGGTGTGGCTGACAAGTATAGCGATAGCACAGCTGTGTCGCTAACTAGGCTAACTGTTCTAGCTAGATCCAGAAACAGTGGAAATATTTTTCTGTGACAAATAACATGTTGGCATATCATCCACCGAGGAGAAAACACCTTGTGTAGAAAAGGACGAGTCCTCATCAGCTTCCTGAGTGGCACTGGTTAGCTCTGTTAGCTCGTTAGCTCATCTGAGGAGGCAGCCTCTGTTACTCATCCAACATGAAAACCTACTGATTTGGCTGAGTTTTAAATAATAAAACTAATTTATTCGTCTGTGTGCTGCTATATTTTTGGGCAACACCAGTGCAGCCACCTAAAAAAAACCTAAGCCCACATTATATGTTACATTATATGTTGCCAAGGTCCATTTTTTGTGCTGTTGTTTTTTCTTCCCTGGGTAACCAGACATGTGTTCTTGAACTCTTACTGATATTTGAATATGAAAATTAGTCAGCATGCACATCCAAAATAGCTATAAGCTTTTATAACTTGCAAGCTATACTAGCCTTGTAACTCCAGTGCAAAACTAAAGAAGTCAGCTCCAGACACCAAACATGTCTCAGCTGACTGACTGTATTTGGGTTAGGTTGACAATTAAAACATCGCTTTGAGTTCACATGATGTAACACAGATTCAGAGATATTTGCTCACTGAGCAGTTGCAGATGTCTTTGTGGTATGTGGCTCTAATGGCAGCCTCCACGTAGGGGTAGTGGAGGAAACTGTACGGCAGGACGATGTGAAAGGTTAGTCGGCCACAGCTGGACAGACAGAGAGAAAAAGAGAGAGGTGAGGTATAAGCATTGAGCATAGCCTCGGGATATCAAGCCTGTGTGTTTCTACAGGCCTCACACTACAAGCTATTTTCCTGACCCATAACACATCAATAACCAGCCAGTTCAATGATCCTCAATTGGCTAAGGCAAGAAGAACCATCAGAGCAAAAACTAGCTAAGAAATCTCTTTGGTTTCCTCCTTTGTAGTTAAAGGCATACCGATCGTAAACTAAAAAGTCGTCCTTGTCTCCCTGCAGGGTCTCCCACACATCCGGCTTCAGGGGACTCTGCTGGTAGACGGGGATGCCCTCGGCTGTCCTTCTCTTCAGCTCCCAGTACATGGCCCTGGAGTGGGCCTCCTGCTCGTTCACCACAAGAAAGCTCACCTCCGTCAGGCCGCCTCGGGAGAGCTTATCACGCAGCCCGCCTAGCCTGCACAAAAGAAAAGCTTTGACCTTTATACACTGCTGTGAAAAAGTATTTGCCCCCTACTGGTTTTCTTTATTATGGCATATTGGTCACAGTGAAAGCTTTGAAAGATCTGAAACAATTTACTGTGACAAATTTGCAATAGCAAAGGAAATCAGGAACTTTTTCATGCCACCGTCCATCTGGCCCAGTCCTTATTAAAGAGGCATTCTGGCCTAAAACTACCATATAATATGTTATTTATCATGTAATGTAATATTTCGTGGATCTGCATTGCATCCCTCAGCCTCATTTGACAGAATTCACAAATTAATATCCTGTTTGTTTTTCTTCCCTTAGTGTTTTCTCACAATAATACCCAGCATGCCTTACGCAAACACCTCAAGCAAACATTGGGAATCCACCCACCCAGTCAATTTTGCGATACATATAACGTGTCTTGAAAACGTTATCGAGTATCGTGATGTTATATTTTCGTCTCATCGCCCAGCCTTACCTGGCAGCCTGCGTGAGGCAGAACTGTCAGCTGGCCTTCAGCAGAGCCACCACCACGACTTTTCCCACCAGCTCCTTCATGGGGGCTTGGTCATCTATCTCCCAGTCTGGGGGAGGGTTACATATCCGTGATCCATCACGATCTCCCTCCACAAACAGCGGGGACGCCCAGAGCAGAGCAGGCAGAGCGGACAGCCACAGAGCCAGAAGACCCTGCATCGTCCCGGCCCTACAGCTGAATACAGTACACATACACAACAGTTTGTATTGGTGGATTTGTGTGGGTTTCCATGGTATTCGGCTGACTGTAGCTAAGTGCTGCTGAACTGCTAGAAAAAACAGCATAGACTAGTATATGTTGTGTTTTGGATGCTGGTTTGCTGGTCAGCAACAATGGAAGTTAATATGCTGATCACCAGCAAAACCAGCATATATTGTGTTTTGGATGCTGGTATGCTGGTCAACCAGCATGACCATGCTGGAGTGACCAGCTAAACCAGAACCAGACCAGCATAGACCATTTTTACAACCCCCCACCCCACCCCATACTCTTACCCAAAAAAAAAATTGATTAGCAAAGACATATTTAGCTACATTAGCCTTGACAGGAGGTACAAGGCTAACATAGCTAGGTTTCTGACTCCGTATGACATGTAATGCTATATTTCATGCTTAAACAGTTCTTTGCATGGTGAAATGATTTTTAAGACTGATGGAGAATGTGTTGCATTTTTTAAAATTTGTTCTATATAGCACAAAAGGGTTCTGCTGTAGCAACGATGTCCAGCTTGTAACAATAGAAGAACCCTTTCTGGAGCTATATAGAACCATTGTCCATCAAACTGAAGAACTATTTCACCATGCAAAGAACCATTTATGCATGAAATGGTTTAATATAGAACTCATGATTCTAAAAAGAACTATTACCTTTAATAAAGAACCCTTGAACCATCTTTTTTTAAGTGTGTATATAGAACCATTTCATGCTTAAATGGTTCTTTGCATGGTGCAATTGTTCTTCAGATTGATAGAGTATGTGTTGTATTTGGTTCTATATAGCAACGAAAAGGATTCTCAGATTGCTATGATATCAGCTTGTAGCTGTAGAAGAATCCATTCTGGTGATAGAGAACCATATACAGCACATTCTCCATTAATCTGAAGAACCATTTCACCATGCAAGACCCATTTAAGCCTGAATTGGTTGTGTATAGAACTCATGGTTCTAAAAAAGAACAATTTCCTTTACTAAGAACTTTTAAAGACCCATCTTTTGTCAAGTGTGTGCTGTTTCGCATAGCGGAAAACCATCTTGAGCCCTGAAATTTGTGTGCACTTTTGTCCATGTTTAAAGGTAACAGTGTGTCATACAGTGTCAGAAACCTCATAAGCAAGTCTTGACCTGTTCAGACGCAAACGCGCTAAACCAGTGGCTAAAAGCTTCCAGTCCTTGTTAGCTACATTAGCCTCATAGCTCCAGCACAAAACTAAAGAAGCCTGGGACCCAAGCTAGAAAGAAAACATTTGGCTTTTCACTTTTCTAATAAAAGCCTCAGTCACGGTCATGAAAGTTTAGCTGACAACTTATTGCAGATTGGTCATTCTATGCAGTTTTTAAAGTGCAATGCTAGTGGCTAAATTAGCTGATTAGCTTCCTTGCTTCCCAGCTGTCGACACAGCTTGAGCTCAAACTTCACTTCTTAAAATAAAATTATTCACCACAGCTTTCCAAAGGTGTTACAGCCGGAAGTTGAAACTTCGGTTGTTTTCGTAAGACCTGTGTGTCGCAATAGATGCGTTTTACGCAATTCACGTTCTGTTTGTTGCAGCACACATATTGTGAAAGCTAACAACTGTGGAAAATAACTGTGGTCAGCTCAAATATTTGCGATTTTGTAATAAGTTTGATGGATGCTGTAGTTTTTCCTTCATGTGGAGCAGCTAAATATCCCCAGAGCACAAAATGTCATTGTATTTCATCATTTTGGGCACATTTAGTCCCACAAAGAGCTGAAGACTTTCGGGTTGCAAATAACAACATTGTAAAAAAGCTCAATTCATTTAGAGTGGTTTGATGTGAAGTTCTTACAGTCAGAACAGTCAGAGCTGTGGTGGTGATAGGAACCAGATGTCTGAAGCTTTTAACGCCTCTAAAAGCTCCCTCACAGAAAGTCATATATTATGAACACACATTACAAATGTGCTGCCTGATGTGATTGTTTTGAGATGGCTTTGTCCTAAAACATATTTTTAAAGGGCCATTCATGGCGGAGAGGTGCATGCAGGTCTCTGTATGGCAAAGTAGTCCCCACAGAATTTTTTTTTTTTTTCAGATTTACCTCTATTTTACCACCATCAGCATTACAAATGAACTCAGAACACACTTGTAGGTTCAATATAATTGTACTGTAGACATCACACCACCTGGTTCCCCTCACAATCACTTAAAGGTTGGTAAGCTTCTCTACAAAAACCACTTTGAATGACTGATTACATCTCAACAGCAATTCCCATTTAAATTGAGACAAAGCAATAAGTTATTCTTGGTTGCAGACATTAAAATTAAAAAGAAGCTACTCTTAGATTTAAATCACTAGAGAAAGCAGCTCAGTGGATGCACCTACCTCCGTTATCTCGTCTGGACTGTGTTCAGAGCCAAAAAAAACAAGTGAGGTCTGTTTACACAGCACTTTTTAAAGGCTCACCCAGTCTAAGCCCTGCCCGCCCCCTCTCCACAAACACGTGCAACCAATACAGGCGCAGTGCAGGGCCTTGTGCTTCCAATACAGCCAAAGCTATTGATTTGCTCTTTCAAAGCAAACCCAACAATCCGTTAGCCTTGGTGCTGTTGATCTGGTTGGAAGGGCGTAATGACATCATTTGCAAGTGGGTCAAGCATGGAGAGCGAAATACAAAAGCACAGCCCATTCCCAGTGAATAATCCGGACCAGTGAGTCGGAGACGAAAGGAAGAACAATGAAAATAAATTCACTTTTTGCAATATTAGACCACAATATTGGTGGGAATGGGGACAGACATATGCCAAGTATCAAAACTACTTAAAAAATGTATCTATACAGTCTTTTTCTTGGCGAGCTGGCACTGTGGAAGCTGATCCGAGAAGCAGATGAATGCAAATTTGACTTGTCTGTTTGCTTGGCCTTATTTGTGCTTCCCACTTACTGGCACAAACGATTGACCATTTGTCGCTGTTTGTTTGAGCTAAACATTTGGTAATCACGTCACGTGGAAGGTCGTAAGAACAGCCTGACATACCCACACAAACACAACTCAGCATGATTCAAGCAATTTTCTCAAACTGTTAAGCTAAGAGAGCGAGCACTCATTCATTGCTTTCAGTTCAACAAGCTGCGCCATGCTTACGGACGTGCAATAAATAAATAAAATACAATCAGTTGATTATGATTATGATACTCTACATGCTTTCTTATGTACCTTTTAGCAACTGTGAAAGCTTGCTTCGTAACAATGCACCATACAGGTGTAGATCTGACGAATTCGCAATTATTTTATGGTAGAATTTGTTGGATGTAATCAGTCTGCAATTAAAAACGTAGACATGATGCGGTTGATTTCATTTTCAACGGTTTGGGAATCACTACAGTGAGACGTAGAGGACTGGGCAAAAGTCATATTCATGTCAATTCATAGTCAATTCATATTCATGATTCAGCATCAGGAAAAAAAGCAGAAAACATATTTTACAGAAAATCACACAAAAGCCTCAACAATCAATTTCATTTTTTCCTAATATTTCCAGTAATTTTTATAGCCTCCTGAAAAACTCGTGCCGTTTTCAGTTTTCAAAAGAAACCTGCAGGGATATTCTTCCACACCTCCAAAGTTCAGCCTTAGAAGTTGGTCGCACCTTCTGCTTCTCACAATCCAAGTAATCCAAAACACATTCAGTGATGTTGGGGTCTGGACTCTGGGTGGTCTGAGCACCAGCAGCTTTTTTGGTTTGCAATTTTTCTTTTCTCAGTCATGGCCTCTTGAAGAAGCTTCAAAAGTGACGCTTGACGTTCTCCTCTCTCTTAAAGAGGAAAGCTGTAAGTGCTGTTTATTTATGGGGACTGTTGTCGTGGTCAACCAGGTCTTGCACAGTTGTTAAGGGTCCATTTTGTCATCTGTATCCTTTTAATCATTTTTGAGCTCGTTTTGGAAACTCCTGTTTTCTTTTGACTTTCACTTTCCTTAAGCAAGTGGATTACCTCATATACTTTCATCAGAAATATCTCCTGAGAAATGAAAAACTTGCAGTTAATGGGTATTTTGACTGAAAATTAAATCAATGAAGGGTGGTCTCTGGCTTACAGTACAGTACCTACACAGATAAATGACACCCTGATATGGGTAGTACATATCTAAAAATACATATATAAACAAAGATGAAGATATAGATGGCCAGAACGGCTCCAATATACAAAAAAAGGTTAAGCAAGCTATAAAATGGCAAACAAGCATCTCTCATGTTGTTTTAGTGGTAGTTAATATTCCTTAAACCAAAGTAATAAATAACCCCTGAACGTTCATACATGTAGCTTCAACAGGTCGAAGGTAATGACTTATCAAAGGTCCAAGTTTTCAAAGGTCCAAGTCCACCAATTTTTCAAAACGTCTGTGTACGTTGTTGAGATGTAAAGCCATTCAGAGTGGTTTGATGTGAAATGATTCACTGTAGAGAAACCTACACTGTGATGTCTTTACAGTGGTGCTGACAGAAACCCGGGGTCACAATATCTACAACACAAATATAGTCCATGTTTAAATATAGTGAACCTACAGGTGGCTTCTGGTTTCTCTCACCACCACTGTGAACAACTGAGTCTAGCTTCTCTAGAACAGAGTATTTCACATTAAACCACACTGAACAACTGTTTACACTTTAATGATTTAATTATACAGAAAGTCTGAAAAAATGGATGAAATTGCCCTTTAAATATTGCATTTCCCTCATATTTTAGTGTAAAATTTCCATTTATTTTTTTTATATATTAGAAAAAATAAAACATAAAATATAAAATGTGCCATAACCTTTGCACAAGGCACATTTTATGTCTATTCTTCCCCTAATATGTTAAATTCAGCGAACGAGCAGAACTGTGCACTAAAATCTTCTCTGTAGAGGGTGTGTTAACTTTCTGTCATTGGAATTTGACCAGGGGTGCCAAAACTTTCCACAGGACTGCACATATAACGGAGTAAATGGAACTAGTTCACACCCTCCCCTGCATGGGGCCTCTTATCTTCCACAGTTAAGTTAGAGATGACACTGCAAACCACTGGGGTATCATGTGTAAATGCCACAGTACATTTTCCACCTCTTTTAAAAGACCAAAATCATGTGAGCCTGATTGATTTTAGCAGTGCAAACAGCAGCATGAGCCCCATTCCCTGCTTAACTGAGACCAAAGTGCAGGTTTTAGGTCAATGCTGGATGGAGTTGGTGACCATTGTGCATTTCTAAGTATTTGATAAATGTAATTTTACGCTGCCAAAGCGTATTTCTGAGGGATGTAATTGACTTTTTTCCTCGGTTTCACAGTCCTCCACATTAAGTACCTACTTCTGTTTTTTGGGTTTTATTTCATTGTTCTCTTTTTGGACTGCTTTACTCTTGGTCACACCTCACTTTGGAGCTGGAGCATCATATTTTACACCTAAACGATCCCAAGAAGAGAAGAATAAAATCTAGGCTAGGCTACTTTCACGTCTACTGAGTGAAGTAACAACACTTCATCTTCTAACTGCAAACACCCTGTGGTCAAACGATGAAACGAAGACGCTCTATTTGGCTTGAAGCTGGACCTGCGATCAATACAAACGGGGAAAAGTTGAAGTAATTCCAGTTCTCCAAACTCATTTTATTCTTCTGAGGAGCATCTTCGCTTTGCCAACAGTAGCCTTTGCATCATTTAACAAAAGCAGTATAAATAAAAAAAAAAAACAGTAGCCTGATCGCCCACTGAATAAATGGTCTGAATTGTACTGGGTTCCACTGTGAATGAAGCCAAAAGCCAAAGTCCTCTGCTGGAAAAGAATTAACATCATAGTTCAGCCAAAAATAAATGTGTACAGAATCTTCCTGATGTCCCAAACGTAGACAATCTGCAAAGGCTTGTTTGGTGTCTGAAGTCTGCTTCTTTAGTTCTGTACTGGATCAAAGAGGCTAATGTAGCCAACAAGTAAATCAAACTGTGTTGAGTTGTTAAGTCATCTTAGTTAGACTTTATGTGGATTCTGACACTGTATGACATAAATAAAAAAAAAATGCACGAAATTTAGGCTTCCGATAGGCTGCTAGCACTGTTTTTAGCTATCTGACATACTGTTCCATTTTATTAGTATTAACGATGCGATGAAAAGAAAATTAGAAATTCAAGACACACCTAACCGGAAACTGAAATCGAAACCGTTTTTTGCCCCCTTATCTGTGCTTAAACGTTCTAAACATAAAAAAAATCAAAGCTAACAAACAAAATACACTTTTATTATTGCTAAAATTTGCATTCAGTAGAACAAAACTGAGCTGACATTGAATAAAAACAGTTTACGTTCAATAAAATGAATAAAATTATTTCAGTATGTAGGCTTTAACGTGTGCAAAGAAATCCAGTGTCCTCAACAACAGAGAACGGTTGGTCATCCAGGGCAATGAATTCCATTATTTTTGAGTTATATTTTGTAGTTTTTGTTGTTTGCGAATTTTTCCACTTTAAAACCTGGAGCTACAGATGGCGCTAGTATGCTCACAGGGACTTTCCTTTCTCCTTCTGCTGTTTTGCTGTGTTCTGAGTACTGAGCGGGACGTTGTGAGGTACTAAACCTGCGACGGACAAGTTCTTGAGCGCCATGCTCTCTCTTTATTCTCGACTTCAACACAGAAACCCTGAAAATAGATCCATCCCGCACTGTTGACCTGGTGCTGCTCGAACTGTTTGAACACATCTGCACTGACCAGCCAAGACAGTGAACAAAAGAAAAGTTATTAATCACCGTTAAAGTGTTAGATGTTAACACTTTGTTGTAGTTTTATTTTAATCATTTATTCGGCCAAATTTTCTGACTTCTTTCTTTTACCTGAAAGTGCCTGTTTTTACCAATTTTGGCCAAAATGTTTCACTGCCTGAAAATTCGGTGCATCCCTAAACAGCATGTCAACTCAATCTGGACTAAGGGAAAAAACTGTGTACATTTTTACAAGATCTTTGGCCGAACCACCACAGTAAACTCACAGCAGTATGCCACACTTAATTAGTCACAAGGAAAAGATAACATGTCCTGGTTTGCATCACATTTCACAAGTGAAGTTCCTTTTTAGGACTTTGGTCATAATGTCAGCTCATACAGTAGATTCTTCTTGTTTAGCTTCTGCAATCTGGTACTAAAACAGCACCAATTTAGGACCCTTAAGCCTTTCATGAAGTTCATGATTTGAACAATGTCGCAATAAAGAATGGTAAAATATTACCTTCAGACAAAATGAACACTTTTCCATTAAATAAACAACGACGGCATACTACACCTCTATCCACTGTTAGGCTGCTTTGAGAGATCTTTGAGAACTTAGAAATGAATCTAACTTGATTAAACATAATATTTCTTACGGTGCAGACGGCTGCTGCTATAGCTCGGACCTCAGTTGACGTGGCAGTTTGCATTATCCTCCATCAGAAATAGAAAACACATTCACACATTTGACCACACACACGAATCTGAACAAGAAGTGAGTCTTAGGTCATAATTCCAATCAGTCCTTCATCGCTTGTCCCGTTGCCTTCAGGGCTATTACACGCTGTTATGATGCCCAAGCCAAGTTCTGCAAGATCCTCCTGCATGCTTGTAGTCATCATCATTTTAGGCTCCAGGCGGTTACACAGCGTCCTGTACGAGGGCAGAGGGTAGCCCAGTTCTCGCAGGAATTCATATCCTTTGACTCCGACGGCACAGCGGATCTTGCGGGCGGTCAGAACTGTGTCGTGTGACCACACGGCCCGCCGCGAGCGCTTGGCCAGGGTCAGGGCCCGGATTTGGTCCTCATATAGAAACATCTGCAGTCCTTTCTCCATCTTGCTCAGCTTGTGCAGACGTTTCTTCATCTCCTCCGCCTGGACGGCAAACAAAGGGAGAGCAAAGATAAGAGTCATTTTTGGCTACTTTTAAAGCGGTCAGATTTATATAATTTCCCCCTTACACCAAATCAATACTTAAATTATCACTGGCTTCCCTGAAACAGCAAGAATTTGTTTAGTAATCTTAAATAGACTTGCTTACGTGGTTTCAGACATTATATGACATACTGTTATATACAAAAAAGGACAAAAAAGGACACAAAATCCAGGCTTAAAACAACTGTTTTTAGTTATGAATTGTACTTTTGCCCATTTTTATGGAACACAATGAACACAATACAGTGCCAGAAACCACATAAGCGAGTTAATCTACCTCAAAACTCAACACAATGTGATGCATATGTGTGTGATTTAGGCAGCCAAATTAGACAATGCTGAACTGGTGGACATGAGCTTCCATTATTTGTTAGGTGTGTTAGCCTCCGGTGCTTAAGCAGTCGTAACGAGAACGTCTGGGCTAAATGTGTGTGGGAATTTAGACTTATTAGGCTGGGAACAAACTGAGAGTGAAATTTCAAAACCAATCTAATGCTTCATTAAGGCAGAGCTCAAGGTATGGGGCTATGGTGCACTCGTCAACATTGTCCAACAGACAACAAGCCTGTCGCTAGCCAATGGATCAAGAAGGGCCTGGGTTCGGTTCCCCGGGGTCCTTTCTGTGTGGAGTTTGCAGGTTCTCCCTGTGTCTGTGTCGGTTTCCTTCCACAGTACAAAGACATGCAGTCGGGCCAATTGGACACGCTAAAATGCCCCTACATGTGATCGTGTGTGTGAATGTATATGTCTGTCTGTCTGCCCTGTGATGGACTGGCGACCTGTCCAGGGTGTTTCCTGCCTGCTGCCCAATGACCACTGCGATAAGCTCCAGCTCCCCCCCGTGACCCAGAAGGATAAGTGGTTTAGAAAATGTCTGTATGTGAAAAATCCCACAAAAACTTGTTAACTAATGGTAGTGTTTCGCAAGCCAGTCTGTTTTGCTTGTAGCGGCGATTGAACTCTGAACGTTTAAAGGGCATAGACAAAAAAAAATTGAAAGTGGGTTTTTGAGGGGGGGTGCACCCATGTTTGCAGCAGATTTTGTCCCAATCCACGGCTAAAAATAACATAAATAAACATCTTATTCATCAGACTTGCCTACGGTCAAATATGAGCGTAAAACGAGCACATGCACATTTCACATACAGATTTGTTATCAAACTCACGTTTGGTAAATTTAATGTTAAAACGGCCTGAAAATGCCTGATTTGTGGTCAAACCGTCAACATTATTGCAAATAAATAATACCAGCAATACCAGTAAAAATAGAAAATAACACTGACAATACTAAAAACTTTCCACACAGCAATCCTTGTACTAATTGGATGTACTAATTCTCTACTTGCAGTGATATAAACAAGTGCTGCGACTACACATTTTATCTAAAGACTTTTGCTTGACACTGACATAATTCATTTTAACATTATAAACAAGCTCTGACCAGTAGGGGGAGTAGTGCACCTCCTAATCAGTCCCAAACTCTGCCTTCTGAAGAAAACCACTGGCTCATGAAAACTTGTTTTATTGACTCAGTATCGAAAAATCTCCAAGAATTAGTGTGTGCTTCACATAAACGATATGTATATAAGGGCAGATTTGGGCCTGCTTGTTGTAAATGATACGTGAATAAGGTACTCATGAATGGGTGCTTGTTCCTGAATCAGACGTAGAGAAGTTCATACATCATTCAGGACGGTCAGATCTTTCTGATGAATAAGGGCCACTGTCCCCTGACATGTATTCACAGGCGCTGCGAGAGTTGTTCTAAAAAAAGCAAACTTCAAAAACATGTCTTGGCTGATCAACTACATTTACGATAAGGAGAAAACTGTTAATATGATCTTTGGCCAAACCCTTTGCTTTAAGGCCTCATCACAAATCCTGAAGGTTTATCATCCTGAAAAACTGTTCAGTAAGAGATTAGACAAAATGCTGTTAATATATAAAATAAACCAGCTGCCCTTCAAGTAACACAGAAACTGTGCCAGCAGAAAGAAATTAAAAACCAAAAGGGAGAGTGCAGGCCAAACAGCTTCTATTTTTACTCGTTTTTGTTATGCTCCATCTCCCAGATGAGTTTTGGCACTGAGGATCACTCTGAGCCCTGTCCTGTTTGTTCTAACAGAGGGTGAAGCACTGGCCTCTCTCTGGAGCCGGGCGGTGTGCTGCTGCTGCTGCTCCAGCTGACTTTTGTAATGCTGGCACAGAGAGCACGGCCGTTCCTCCTCCGCTCTCTGCCTTTCTTCTTCCTCTGGGTCCACTCGTGGCTGCCGGCGGGCATAGCCATGGTCCCCGACGTTCAAATCCTTCTCTGCTGAAAAAATAAGACAAAATTAGACATTATTACAGAGAACAGGAAAAACCCTCCTCAGTTCATTTTAACAATTATATGTTGTGCAATCCATTAGAAGTTAGTTTACCTGTCACCTTTTACAGTCCAAGATAAGTGTGAGACTGCAGTAAGAGAATATTAAGGATTTTTTTTTTTTTCAAGAAAATTATTTGTTTTAACAATTGTTCTTAAATGAAGTGAAATGAGGAAAATTCTTACAAGTTTTTCTGAGGAAAAATATTCAATAAAAAATTCAAGAGATCTTTTTTGAATCCGCAGTTGCCCAAAATTAAGTTTAAATTCTGCTTTAAGGGATGCTTCTGAATGCAAAGCTTTTGAACAACATCCGAAATGTTTTGGATCATCTTTTAATAATTTCCATAATCATAAAACTCTTCTGTCTACAGAACTCATCACATACAGCATAAAAATGTGTCTTTTGGCAGCACTAAACTGCACTCATTCTTTTTGCCTCATATCTTAATGTCTAATGAGTGTGGGCCTTGGAGCTAAATTCTGTCAACAACACCAGTGGGTGACTCCACCGTCAGATTAAAAACTGTTTTAAGGAAAATTAACGAAAGGAAAACGCACAGTAAAATCTGTTTAAATTGAGAGGGAACGAGAAATTTGAATCCAAAGCATGGCGTATTTGAGAAATGACGTCCGAACCTAACCAACCTCAAGTGGCTGGGTTTGGACAACCATAACTAGACCGATACCTAGATTAGTATTACGGACTACAGACAGATTACGGGTAAATGCAATGCATATTTCGGTACAGTTATAAGTGGACAAAATAATCAGACGTTTTAGCAAACAAACAAGTAGACAAGTAAACCTTCCTGCCAGACACTGAATGAAATGAACCTAAAGAAGCGAGTTTCTGCCACCGGTACACAGCCAATATATAGCCATATTATATACACATATATATCTCATAATAATGAGAAAGTGTAGTAATGAAAACTATGACTTGGCCAATTATGATTTCGTCATTACTATGAGAAAATAAGTTATTGTTGAGATGCTAATTCATAATTATGACTTGCCAAATTGTAATTATGAGACTGTCATAGTCATGACATTACATGATTAGCATGAGATACTAAGTCATAATTATGAGATATTAGGTCATAAGCATGAGATTGTAGGTCATAATTGTGACTCAGTGTCTCAATAATGACTTACTATGTCATAATTATGACTTGCTGTCTCCTAACTATGACTTAGCCTCTCATAATTATGACTTACTAGGTCGTGATTATGAGATCGTAAGTCATAATTATGACACATTCATTCATTACTATGAGACACTAAGTCATAATTACGAGATATTAAGTTATGAGAGTGTAGATCATAATCATGACTTAGTATCTGACTTGCTATGTCATAATTATGACTTATTGTCTCATAACTATGACTCAGCGTCTCATAATTATGACTTACTAAGTCATACTTATGAGATCGTAAGTCATAATTATGACACATTCGTTCATAACTATGAGACACTAAGTCATAATTACGAGATATTAAGTTATGAGAGTGTAGATCATAATCATGACTTAGTATCTGACTTGCTATGTCATAATTATGACTTACTGTCTCATAACTATGACTAAGCATCTCATAATTATAACATTTCTTTATAACTGAGAAATTTTCTAGCTAAGTAAGAAATTATTATGAGATACAGCCTCATTATTATGATATAGCAAATCATAACAATGTGATGTGTGTCATAACGGAGATACTAAGCCTTAATTATGGAAACTTTCTCATTATTATGACTTCTTAAATGGCTAAATATTTTTCTCTGGTGGAGGAAACGGGCTTCCACAGGCACCACATGCCCACTCAGACACGTATTGACCTCAGTACCTGCTTCATGTTTAACTGGGAGAACCACATGAGGAGTGATGGGTGAGGGTGGGTCTGGGACATTGAACAGTGTGGGGATCGCATTGGGCTTCAGTTTCCTCCCCCCTGCTGGCGAACGGGCGATTTCTTCAAACTGGCTCTCCTCAAAATGATCCTGCAAGCCATTCAGAAAGAAGTATGTTAAGAAAAGACCCAACGCCACCAACCTAATGTCGGCTTTCCAGACTTTTCTGTCTCATTTAGAACAGAAACGAGTGAAGGGCGAAAAACTTTAGCAGCGGTCTCTGAGCTGATATGAGCCAGTTAGTTAGTTCCACTTGCCTGACACAGTCTGGAGCAGGGGGTCGGCACAAAGTCCCGGCGACAGTTTACGAGCCACTTTCTCATCCGCACTGGATCTTTCGGGAAGCGAAATAGCTGCTTTCCGATGGTCGTAGAGTTGGAGCAGTTTGGAGCAGAACATCCACCCATGGCGGTTTACTTATATCCAAACTAACGTTAGCTTGGCAGCTAGCGCCACTACGGCGGACACGTAGCTACGCTAGCAAGCCAATGAACAAGCTGTACGTCTCACGGGAGCTTTTCGGTCGAATAAAACAGCCAGTAGAAATATGTAAGTCGTTAAAAATGTTTTTGAGCCAGGTAACCGGCCCGCCCGCGTAAATGTACACAATATTTGCCTTAGAAAGAAGTGCAACCCCGAGTTAGTTTGAGCCAAAATGGCGCCTGTGGGTTTTTACAGGGCGACCTTAGTGACTTAGGCTGAATCCCTAATCAATCCGTACTCCCTATATAGGTGCACTACATAAGTCGCGAAAATGTGATTTTCTACGCCTAAATGCGCACTAAATGTCAACTCATGTAGCAATTCGGTTGCCGTAGTACCCCGAACAGCTTTTTCGAAGGCAGATGATGCACCATACCTCGATGTTTCAAGACCTACTTAGTGCACTACATAGGGAGCAGGAAGCCATTTGAGACACACCTCGGTGACGCGGTGCAGTTGGCCGCTTACACGGCTGCCTGCGCGATTTTCTGAGGAAAAACTCACTCTTAAAAATATTGAGGAGCCATTTAAAACGTACCGCGTCTGCTCTAAATGTTTTGATGTCCCTTTTATCTCAAGAGAAATCGTTTTCACTCATTTTATTTTCATATGAAAACTATTCCTCCGGCACGGAGAGGACGAAACTCAGCATCCTCACAAGGAGTAGGAGACGATTTTGTGTTTGAGATAAAGTTGGGGATTTTATTTTTGTTCTAAATCAACAACAGTGAAAAAGAAAGAAAGCGACAACATTGTACTCCTGCAGTAGTTGTGTTTAAAAAGGTAGATAAAAGCAGAAACGCGTCCGCTCTCTCGTTTTCGAGCTTCCTCAGCTGCGCTAGCTAACGTTACTTTCCTGTAGCTGTAAAATAAAAGTCCCCTCGTTGCCACCTATTAACTGCTGACACACTTTTCACGTTGACCAGGTGAAGTAAAGTAGCTGTGGGCAGCGCAGTGCTCATATAGCGGAGTTTTATTTATTTTACAAACAAGCAGAAGAGCGGAATGATGACCAAATCCATGGTGGTGCCCGTTATAGACGTGCAAAATGACAATTTTAAGGAGCTTTGGCCTTCAATGGTGCTCGCCTTTAAAACGTCCTCCTTCATTGCGTTGGACACGGTGAGGATTCGCACAAACAGGCTAAAATAAATATAAAGTTGTTTGTAATTCTGTTTTGTCAGTAAGCACCAATTTGACCTCCTTTTCTTGTAGGAACTGAGCGGTCTTGGCGCACGGAAAGCTCTTCTCGCAGAGTGAGTTACACTGTACTGGTTGATACGATATTTATCGCGATATTTGATACACGAGAAAAAATGAAATTTTATGTAAATACGCTTAAAAGGGATTTTTGTTAAAATTTCTGTATGATTAAATGGTTACCATGTCAGCCAAGTCATTCAGAGTGGTTTGGTGTGAAATGCTCCGTTCTAGAGAAACTGAGTTGTTTACTTATCAACTCCAGTTTCTTTACAGTGATTGTAATAAGAACCCCAGGCTGCGATATTTACAATTCAAATATAACCATTTCATTTGTGATTCAAAATGAACAGTGAACCTAAATGTGCCTAATGAGTTTTTATGTGTAATGTTGATCAAGGTAAAATAGCGGTAACTCTGGAAAACATGTTTTCCGTAGGTACAGTTCAGCCTTACAATGCTGTGGTTGTAACTCTCTGCCATAGAGAGGTTTATAGAAACACATTTTAGGCCTAAATCTTCTCAAAATTATCGTAAAACACCGTCTCAGACATCACATTACCATTTAAACCATGTAATAACTGTCTGTGAGGGAGCTTTCTTCTTCCAGAGGTTATCGGCACCTCTGCAAACAATTCTGATTTGGCAGGTTTCATCTTCAATACTGAATCATAAAGGAATTTTAAAAATTCAATGGAATTCCCCTTTAACATGACAGTGCAGCACAAATATAGTCAGTAATTCTCAATCATAACTGACATTTTAAGCACAATTATAGCAGCCAACTCTCCTGTCACTTGTAAAATGGCCCAGTTATGCAGTCTGAGCTATTTAAGTGAATGTTTGTGGGTCTTGGTCGAGACATTGTTAATGTTTTTGTGTGATGTTCTCTTAAGGTCAGTTGAAGATCGCTATAAAGCGATATGCCATGCTGCTCGCACGCGCTCAGTACTGTCCCTGGGGATTGCTTGTTACAAGAAACTTAATGACAAAGTAAGTGTTCCACCTTTGCAGACATGGGCTGGTAATGTTGTGTGTGATTATCTTTAACCACAGGCCTCTTTAATCTTTGTTTATAGGCCGACAGCACGTACCTGGTTCAAGTTTACAACCTGACGCTGTTGTGCACGGAGGAGTACATCATTGAACCTCAGTCAGTGCAGTTTCTTGTGCAGCATGGCTTCGACTTTAACAAACAGTATGCTCAAGGTGTTCCCTACAACAAGGGCAATGATAAGGTGAGTGGCTTAAAAAGAAGGACACGTTTTTTACTCTGACCATCGTTCTCCCCCCAGGAAAACTGATCTTTTTCTAATACACATTTGGATTCTGCTGTAAGTCACAGGCCTCACAATGACTCAGTTTGATTATGATTTAGGAAAAGTGTCCATCATAAAATTTAAAATTTCTCTGATTGGCATTTTAATCCATTTAGGAATTATTTTTTAAAAATGTATTTAAAGGAGCATTCAGGCCTGAACCGGTCATTATCATTAAGCTGGCCTTACAAAGCCACTTCACTGAAATGATTTTCATTGTCATACTTTGCAGGACTGCAGAGCCTATTCAGGGATAGCGCTCTTTTGCTTTTGGGATCGAGCACTTTGTCTAGTCTTCATACAGCATTCGTTCAAACGTCTTTATTTCCCCCCATAGTAAATGAATAGTGGAATTAGGAACCACCAGTCCTGGCTGCTAGTGTAGCCACTGCTGTTCATGCCCATTAGTACTTCTTTTTCTGCTGCCAGGCAGCAGATTAAACAGTCTGACCTCAATTATTGGCCCCGCAGCCTTTGTGGAGTTTTTTAGTGTTTAAACAGGAAAATCTCGCAGTAGAGTCTGCTGTGACACCAATTCAGGAGGCCAGTAAGCTTGTTTAAAACAGGTGCAGTGATGGTTACTTTTAAATTTTGGCTGGAGTGTCCCTTTAATGCACATATCTGGCTGGAGGACACAGTAGTGGACTGTAGACAGTAAAAATAAATTCCCTTTTTTGGGGATATTTTATGTTTGAAAATCGCTTGAGACTTTTATTTTGAATAGAATTTAATTAGTGTTCCTAAATTAATGCAGCTGTATCGACACCTTTAGGCGGATGTGTTCTAATGCATTTTCAAGAAATTGTATTAAAGCATTATTTGATGATTTTTTTTTTTATTTATCTTGAGGGAGGAGATGCCCATGGGGTGAATATGCGCACCTTGTATGTGGAGCTCCTGAGGGCGAACAAGCCTCTGGTGGTCCATAACGGCCTGATCGACATGGTGTTCCTGTACCAGTGCTTCTACGCCCATCTGCCTGAAAGGCTGGGCACGTTTATAGCTGACCTGTCGCAGATGTTCCCTGCCGGCATTTACGACACCAAGTATGCGACAGAGTATGAGCTGCGCTTCACCGCCTCCTACCTGGAGTACGCCTATAAAAAGTGGTACGTTTTCAGAAAATATGTGTAGTAATTAAAAACACACCAAAACGTCAATGAAAATGAACATTTGCTATATCAGTTGTGTCTAATATCTAAAACTATAGGCCTGTTATCTTTACAGTAAGTTGGACAATGCCAGATCCGTTGAGGCTGGTAAGAATGGACCTCGTTTGTTCCTGGAGTTTTGTAATTACACCGGGCGCCTGCAGAGCTACGTAGACTACAGGCCTTGCTTGGACAGCCAGAGCCATGATGGCACCCTGAACATCTGCATTCAGTTCTCTGTGAGTTCCTCTTTGCTTTTCTTTCAAAATTGCCTCCCTGAAAAGTTTACTGGATACTGATCTTGATGTGCTGGAGGAATTGTTAATGTGAATAAAATAGTAAGTATTAAAGTGAAATAAAGTGGATTAGTTGTTAAAATGTCTCTAATTGAAAATAAGTTAAAATATAAGCTCTTTTTAATCATCTATAATGTTCTTAAGATAGACGTGGTTATTCTGACTGTATTTATCCTTGTTTGTGTGTCAAATATTCAAACATTAAATATTACTTTTTAAGCTGGGAGACTTTCACCCAATCCCATGTCTTCTTTTTACCCCTACCCCTTGTTTTCGAGTGTCTCCTTGCCCCTTGGAACTGAGTTATAAGGGGTAGTGGTTGAAATCTTCCCTCTGAAATGGGACCCTCAGATAAAAAGAGCATCACTTCATTAACAGCTACCAGCGCTGCTCTGTAGGCGACTCTGCCAGTCTGCAGTGACAGCAGAGGAGGGTAAAGTTCAGCTCCTCACTGCTGGGCTTTAGTTACATTTCGGGCATCATATGACTTCAAAGAGGGGGGCAATTATTTATTATCGCTCACCTCTCATTCTTCAGTGATATGAAGCTGAAGTCAGATATTCAGCAGCTTCTCGTTCAGTTTTCCTGTTCCACTTTAAATGGAGCAGCAGTTACATTCTGGTGCTTTAGGCGTCAGAACTGCTGGACAATTTAAGGTGGAACGGGAAAGTTAGCTAGCTAGCTACCGAGACGTCAGCATACTGTTAGAGATTTTTATGCTTGTTTTGAAGAAAACGGCCATAATACATTAAAACCACATTAAACTAAGAAAATACAGTGGTGACTGGAATTTCAAACCGTGAAAATTCTCACGTTTGTGGGTTTCTTTGGTCTCTTGTTCAGCCATCTTGCCGGTTTTTCTTTTTTTCTCATAACACTGTTTGGAGCCTCTGAAAAACCTCCATTTGGAGGGTCATGTAGCCCCAACACTTCACCCTCCCCCTCTATCTCAACAAGAATCAGGACACCCTACCCCTAGACCTGAACGCACAAAACGGAGGGCTAAGGGGTAAGTGGTAGGGACGAGGGGTAAAATGGGATCGCACAACATAAACATCTAGCGTTCCTAAAAGCTTACAGTGGTTTTCAGCCTGGAGGTCTGAGATAATTATGGAAAAATGTACACAGGACTATATTTTTCACATATTTTGAATGAATTGGTATAAAATCTCTGCACCAGTGATATCTCATAGTCAGTATTAGCTTAAAAGCAGTTCATAGTTGAACAGCCAAAAAAAAAATTAAATTCTTATCTGATGCAGTGTGAAACAGTGCTTAGCCAAGCAGCTAAACAAGCAGCTTACTTTACCAGCTTACATGTGTAACATTGTGATTATTAACTTCTGTACGTCCACATTGGTCAGAAGAAGCAGATATGAGAACGCGTTTCTGCCCATTAGCATTATTCATCTTATAAACATATCACTGTTGCTAAAGAGCTTTCAGATGTTTGCAAAAATCCCTTAACATTTAAAAAATATAAAGCGGTTTATTTATGATCAGTAATCGCATAATCTTTCATGCATTTGGTTCCCATCATGCATGATAATTACAGCACTTTATGCGGAGTGTAAGTCAGGCAGCCAATCAGCCTAGAATTTGGAACAAGCATTCTTATTACAAGCCTAATTGCCTTTGTAAGAGTTGTTGATGGGGCTAGTCTGGTCATTGCCAGTAATTGTAGACTGATAGTTATTCCTGTGCTTGTTTGCTTTGACAGGCTTACGGATGGTGTCCCAACGGCGCTCAGTGCCCCATGTCGCACGACACGGACCTCATCATTCAGCAAGACGAGAAAACCAAAGAGGACAAAAAGAAAAAGAGGAAGCGCAGGAAGAAACAGAAGGCTGCCCGGGAAGTGGAGGAGGACAGTTTGCCTGAAGAGAAGAGAGCTCACCTGGAGGACATGGAAGTTCAGGGTGAAGCGGTAACCACCTGTGAAACCATGGCAACAGCATCCGAGCACCAGCAAACCAGTGGAGAGGTGACAAAAGTGACCTGTGTTAATGACTCTGGTAGCGTAGAAGGGGCTGAGAATGGAAGTGGTGTCCCTCCAGCGCAGGACTCGACTAGAGACGATGGCAAAAATGCGCAACAGACGTCTAAAGGCTTAACTGGAGCCAGAGAGAGAAAGGTGGAGGGAGGAACCCACAGAGCTGGATTCGATGCCTTCATGACTGGTTACATTTTCGCTTTTGCCAGCATTTTGAAGTCAGATGAATCTGTTGCTCAGGCTGGAATACCTGGGTGTGTGAACAAACTGTATTTGAGCGGCAAGTCTGTCCCGCTTCACGTGGTCAAAAGCACCTTCTCGAAGTCCTCCAAGGCTCATGTGCACAAAATGGAGCAAGTGTGGGGAAAAGGCTCCTGCGACAGCAGCACTGTCAAAGCAGATGGAACTGATGCATAAAGAATTCACTTTTTAATTTGGGGTAAATAAAGAAGCACATTTGATTTTATTAATACTGTCATTTGAACTGTTTTCTTAAAGATTAGTGCTGTTATCGTGATATTGGCTTGGTATCGCTGAAGAACACAATATGCAGATTGACATATATTTTAACCAATAACAGTGTTTTTGCTGTAAGCATTCTAACCAATCATAGGTCTTCTGTGGATTTTTAGCTGAATTGACTTAAGAGTTTGGTCAAACTAATGTAGGACAGTCTTTAACCACGTAACATTTATTGACTGATGAATGTCAGTCGTTTTTAAACGAATGGTTCAGCAAATAAACAGACTTATACAATTTTTTCATTACCACCAATATGAGCTGCGTTCCAAAGCCTAGGCTGCATTTCTCGGCCACTACGTCACAGAAGACCATTTCAAAGTGAAGCACACCTTCAGATGCAGCCTAGAAATGCAGTCTATGTTCTGAGTGATCTCGAGGACACAACAGATGTATCCTTCCATGCCTTCAGTTACCCACAATTCTCTGCGCACAAACGGGAAGGGGAGAAAACAGCATAACAGCACTACGGAAAACCATGCACCATGCCGGGAAACAAAGCCATTGGAGCAGAGCTTGTTTTAAAATTCATGTTGTTCACATCCTTGAATTCGTCTTCGTTACCGTATAAAGTGTAAAATGGGTGATTAATTTAAGCATTGGCCCATATTTTGTACATCATCCATATTTCATATTTTATTCATCTGTGTTTATACTATATAAAAGCATCTCCTCCATTTCTGTGAAGAAAAAAAAGCAACAAACTCCTTTTTCTCTCACCAGTTCCCTCACAAGTTTTGTGCTGCAGTTGTAAGCGGCGGGACCTTTCTGGTGGCGTCACCACGCAGCCTCGATAGGACAGTTCCATTTGTGTGACCGATAGGCTACCAAGGAGGAGTCTTCATAGGACAGTCCTACCGAGGACTCGCACTACCTCGGCTGCAGCCTAGGCTTTGGAACGCAGCTGCAGTTGAGCATCTGAGATCTGTGTGGTGCCCAAAGTGGATAACAGTTTCACTGTTGTTTTATTTACATTAGCTCACGTGTGTCAGGTTCCAGTCCTCGTGGGATTCAGCTCATCAGCAAGGCTTTCAGGAACTGAATTCAGAGCATTAGATAAGAGTAAACATTGATCTCTACAGCACTTTGGCCCAGAAGGGCCCCAGTTTGACATGCCTGTATTAGCTTTGTAGCTCCAGTGCAGAACTAAAGAAGCAAACTTCGGACAACAAAACTGTCTTGACCTATTGAGGGCATTTGGAGTAAAGGCAGTCCTGGTGTCAGATGCCCCACCAACCAATCATCATGCGCCATTAAACCCACTATTTTCAGTGCACACCCAGTATAAAAGGCTCCATTACAAGAAGTATAAAAGTTTACTTCGATTAAGATAAAGTGATGCATGCTAGCACTCCTGCATTTTAGGGATGAGCTCTATGTTGTAGAAAGAAAAATTAGCACAGATTTTCTTTATCGACAGACCTTTGTTCATTTGCTGTTCTCTCTTGTTGATTCTCTCCTGAATGTGTGGCTCCTTTGGACAGATCTACCACAGATTATTTGCTCTTATTTGTCATGCTGCAGCAAAACAGGCACCTCCCTGGTTTTCGGATGCCCCGCTCATGGTTTAGTTCTGGCACCAGGTCTGGCTATGGGGAAAAGTGACTTGCAAGGCATAACAGAATCACATGCAGCAATAAAATCACAATATTAGTATTCTGTCCTTGTTATGCAGCCCTTGATTCTTTGATGCGTCTTATCTTCTGCGGGAGGCTGAGCCGGCAGTTTTCAGACACATCCCAGAAAAAAGTGGGAACAATTCAATACAGACAAATTTGAACAACACAAATCATTAAATTTATTTTTTAACCAACTGAATACATACATGCAAATATACATTAAAAAACAAAAAAAAACAAAAAAAAACTGAAACCATATGAATGGAAAAGAAGGTCCTGATCTGTCTTTGGTAGAAATATACACCTCTGATTCAATTACGAATCCACACAGTCAGGAAGAGAAGGACCAAAAAAATAATAATAATAATAATAAAAATAAGAGAAACAAACAACATTATGTACATAAATCTGTGTTCATCAAACAGTATTATTAATATGCTGTACACATAAGTTGACCAGCAGGGAAGTAAGACATAGTAAAATCAATTTTTCTTCATAAATATCAAAATAGATCCTCTCTATAAAACTAGTCTGCTTCGGTTACATTTATTGCATAGAAATGTAGTGACAAACTCGGAGAAAAAAAAAAATGAAACCATTAAGTTCTTTTCTCGTTTCAAGTGCAATTTACATGTTTTAAGTAGTTACAGACACAGACTCTTCTGAAGACCTGAGAGGTCAAAGCGTGAAGAAGATCCAGCTGGTGCTTAACTTGCACTTAGAAGTCGCTCAACCTTTGTAATAGACAGCTGCAGGAGCGACGCTCGTGTAAAACATGGGTGAAGTGATTGTGGGAATGGAATGTCCAGGCAATTATCAAAATGTCTGCACCAATAAGCTGTGAATACAGACGCATTTCAAAATGGTTTATTGTAATTAGCAAAACCCATTTTATATCTACATAAACACAGAATCTGTGAGTTTGTCAGAATATAAAAACGTGTTTAACCAATTACGAAGTAAACATAGTGCAAGGGTGTTAAAATACATTCAGACAAGATGTGTAGATTGTAATAACCCATTAGCCCTATGCAGCATATTAGCTTATTTGTTCTCTGTCTATGTGAGCTCTTGGTTTGTTGGATAACAGTCTGGATCGGTGTTTCACTCGTCACGCCACACACTTCTTTTCAGCACAAAAAAAAACAAAAAACAAAAAAACCCAAATGTGTGCTTAAGTTAGGAGGGTTTCCTTTTTCTTCCAAGAAACAAAAGAAAATGTACATCTTTTAAGTGTATTAAATATAATCATGAAAACTATGTGCACGACATCTGTTCACGGCAAATCCCCTCATTCCTGACCGCTGGGTCAATCTTCGGGATGGTTTCTTTTAGATGTCGCAGCGGGACAGAAGGTCAGGTGACCCAGATGCCCGGCAGGGTGCGAGGACGATGGAGCGGAGCTCCTGTGGCTCCATGGAAACGCTCAGGCCAAGAGAGTTCCTGTTGGTCGAGGAGGACAAGGTCAGCATATCCTCTTGATCCTCTGCCTCCATGTCCTCGCAGGGCACTGGCCGCTGTCCGTTTCTGTTGTGCAGATGAACCAAGCCCAGGCTTTGCTCTTTATTGTCATCGATGGGGCTGCCTCTGCTGCTAGAGCAGTCCATGGCTTCTGCCTCAGTGTCAGTGGAGGCAGGGCAAGACCAGTTATCGTCTGGCTCCGCCCCTTCGTCTGCTTCCACTCCATACTCTGTCCTTGGCCAGTAGGTGTAGGCAGGACACGACTGGCTGAGCTCTGGCTCTGGCCCATCCTCTTCATCTGGCTCCACCTCCCTCTCTGCTCTCGGCCTGTACGGTGGGATCTCCATCACTGCATATTTTTTGGCCCAGCCGCTGAGCGCCTTGGTCCTAGCCTCTCCGGCCTCGTTCCTGGCCGCGCAGAAAGCCTCGGAGAGGGCCGGCTGGGGCGAGACGGGCAACGAGCGGCACTGCCGGCCGGGCAGCTGCCACAGTTCGGGCCAGGGAGCCGAGGATCCGCTGCACACGGCGCCGCTGCTGGAATTAGGCTGCGGCTGGTACCCACTCAGAGTGCCGTGCGGAGAGTGCAGGTCAAACATAAGAGAGAACACCGACTTGCTGGGCATGTCGAAGAACTTGATTTTGCCGCCCTTCAGATCCTCCCTAGCACTGAAGGGGTTGACCTTAGGGACCCCCCGCGAGGGTTCCCGCGACCCTGGGCTGTAGTTAGAGTCCTGGACGTTGGCCTTGCGGCCCGGCTTGCGGGAGAAGATGTCGGACTGGCTGCGAGAAAGCCAGATGTTGCGCCGTGGACGGGGCGATTTGGGCGGGATCTTGTCGTCCTGGAGGACGATCGGGTTCAACCTCTTTATGCCCTGGAACTTATCTCCTGGAGAGAGAGAGATCCAGTATGTTCACATTTGAAGAGGAATAGTTCTGTCATGCTAATGTTGCTAACAATGAATGAAAGTGAACAACCATCATTCAGTGGCCTACATGACTGCATGCATTACCAGCACGTACTTGTTTGTATAGCTGAAAAGGTAATCAAACACCAGAGGGCGCCAGAGGGACATATTTAATACATATGGGATTAAAGCCTGAAGCAAAGTCAATAGCGCAATACTGATGCTGATACCACACATACCACAGTTTCACTGTGGTGAACTACATGCCATTTAGAGGGAGGCTCTTGCTTTCAAAACATTTAGAGAAAACAACATTGCAATATTGGCATTAAGTATTTTAGATAATAACGAAAACAGCGTCGAAGCACAGCCAAACGGAAGTTTACTGAACATTAGCGGAACAGCTCAACCAAAACAAACTTGAGCCTGCTCAGGTGGCGAAATGTTCCTGTAATAGAAACAGAAATAGAACAGAAGTGAAGCGATGCCGAATGATGGATGGGGAATCCGCTGAGAAAGCTGAAGCCTTCAGGGAGGCCTTTCGCTTCTTGTTTTATGCCCAAGTTTTTCCCCCCTCTGTTTGTGCCCTGGCCACGATTAACTGCCAAAGGAAATTAGAGCACGGGGCTGTAAAACAGAGAGGGTAACTGGAGCCTGCATGCAAGCAGACACCGTGCATTAGCAAAGGAACTCTCATTAGGAACGGCCAGCCGTGGCTCCACCACCGGGCCCGTTTACAGCTGACCGACAAGAGACGTGGGAGGAATACTTGACGACGCGTCTGGCTAAGGACACTGTCCTGCATGTTTTACAGCTTCCTTGTTCCAAGAAATCACTGCGGCCTAGCTGTTACATGGAACTCTGGTGTCGGATAGCGGGACCCCAGCCATGTGGTTCTTGCTGTAAAACCCTCACTCACTGCATACAAGCTGTTTTATCACTTCTTCACACTGAAGCAGACGACTGAATCATAAACACGGTGGGCACCAACTCTCCTCTTGGAGATCTACTTTCCTGCAGAATTTAGTTCCAACCTGCATCTAAGAGGCTACAGCCCCTCCTTACCCAAACTAATGCATTTTATCCAGCCAATCAAAGACTTCTGAAGACACTGAGCTGGAGCATTTGAGGCGGACTGTGTTTGGAAGGTAGATCTCCAGGGGCATGGTTGGGGACCACAGGCCAAAAGTTTTGTCTGTGCAACAAAACAAAAAAAGCTGTATTGTCCCCTGTGCTTCTGATATTGTACTGTAATCTGTCATGATGATCACACCGATCATATTAACATCACC